TTTTCAAGATAAATTTCTTTAATACAGTGATTGCAAAAAATGTTTGTTACTTTCTTATCTCACATTGCCGACGAACCCCCTTCATTTGTCTTAGTCATGTAGGAACTAAGGGTCTATTTGAGGCAGCTTATAATTGCGGGCGGCGCCTGTACCGTTTGGTTCATGCGTTTCGCCAGCTTATCCGAAATTGTATTTGGATTTTTATACTAAACGCAGACCGCGGGTCGACCCCCGCAGCCAGCCCGCGGGCCGCGTTTCAGGATAAGCAGTTTATCCTAAAATGCACAAGCTGCCTCAAACGTACCCTAAATCAAGATATTATAGTTAAATAAGTTAACACATGACAAGGACGCCTTGTTATACCATTATACAAATAGAACGTAATAATTCGAATTGGAAACCATAAATTAGAGAAAAATGAAAAAAAAAATCACCTTAAAACAATGGAAGTTGGGGCTCAATCATTAAAAACTAAGACAAAAATACCAGAAAACATTAGAAGGACCTCATGATTATCACAAGTATGAAGACATATATCTATCTTGTGTAATCCAATATCAGGAATTAATTCCATATCATCAAAAGCTTTGCAGGTGGGGGATAGCCCTAAAAAATTTATATACATGCACACATGACAGAGCTCATAATAAACAATTACAGAGACAGCAGTGATAGGGATTTATATGTAAGCTTCAATAAAACCTACAGCTCCGCAATTAGTAAGAAGTTATATGCGTACATAACAATCAATTCTAATGCATTTACACATGAAACCCAAACCCCACCAATCATACGCACTGTTATAGCTGCATACTACTTCCAAAAAAATCTACAACAAACATCGCCATAAAACATCACCAACGAATTCTTATGCATTTACCCATAAAACATCACCTGCAAAAATACCCAAAAGCTTTGCAGACATGCCAAGCAATTCGTAATCAACAAATTTGTATGCATTTACACATGAAACACCTTAAAGGTCACCTGCAATAATAAGCAGAAGCTTTGCAAACATGCCAAGCAATTCATATGCATTTTGCACTTATAACATTTCGTTCTTTATTTTATAGATTTTTTCGTAGTGCGTGCCTCCACTTTAAAGGTGAACCAACATACTAGCTAGATCATGATATCAAATATATCATCTTAATAAGACTCATAAGAAGTAGTAATCTCACAAAAGAGTGAATTTATATTATGAGATTGAGCATATAGTGAAGCATTAAGCTTGGTCATAGATGTTAACAGATGCTATTGCTTACCCACCAAGGCCATATGAATAGATGCTAATGCTTTCCCACCAAGGCCATAGATGCTAATAGATGCTAATTGATGCTAATGCTTGGCCCGATGAATAATGGAGCATTAAGCATCGCCATAGATGCTAATGCTTACATGATTATGCCCCACAGATGGTGCATTGGATATTCTAAGCCATCATTGAGTCTATAGTGTAGGCTAACAACTAAAAAAAAAAACTTATTACTTTAAAAATGATAGGCAGTGAATTTAGGGACCTTGCTATGCAGGATTAAAATATTCACATCACCAACTGTCCTGCAACCATACACTAAATATTTAAGAACAAGCATAATAAAATCCAAACTGCCCTGCAACCATTGACTAAAGAAGCATTCGAACATGCATACATCAAAACAGTTGAAGAACAAGCATAATAAGATCCAAACTGCCCTCCAACTATTCACTAAACAAGCATTGGAACATGCATAGATCAAAACAGCTGAAGAACAAGCATTGCTCCAAACTACTCTGCAACCATTCAATAATAAACTGCTCATTCGAACATGCTCCCACCAATGCTAATTGCACAACAAGCATAGCTTGCTATCTTTGACAAATTCAATCAAAGAAACAAAGTGAAACAACAATACAAAAACACCAACACAACAACCTATTGAAATCGCAACTCAGAATGAAATTTTGAGAATAGGAGAAGGAACAAACTGAAATACCGAACACATTCAAAAAACAAGTGAATTGCATACAACAAATCATTCGAAAGCCCAACATTACCCAAGAAAAATCATCGAACGAAATCCAACTGCAGGAGCACCCACTAAAGAAAATCATTTCATGCAACATTTACAGATCGACCGTAATGAGAGAAGTCGAATCGAGCACGAGAGATTGAGAGCTCGAGGGATTCGGGATCGCCTTAGGAAAGAGAGAAATGGCAGTCAGCTAAAACGCAACGAACAAACGCGGGTCGCGAGTCAATCCCGCGGCCGCGTATCAAATACATTCGAAAGGCGACTGTTGACCTCACTTTTGATTGAGGTCTAGAAATTTCTTTAGTAGCCTAGGTCTAGCCATAGGACTTTCCTACTGACTAGTCTTAGAAAACTAGAAAAGGTACCCTCACCATTAGAAACTCAAAACTCTTCTCTTTACTCAACTTGAAAGTGCCACATATTGGTC